GTCTTCCATGCGTCTCACCTCGTTCCAAATATATTTTGGGAACTTAAATCCCGCTTGTAGCCATGTAAATCCGTTTGTACGCCTTTCTGCAAATAATTTTACTAATCGCTTGTACGTCGTCTTCACAATGGCATATACTGGAAGAGATCGGCATCCCTTAAGCACGTGATTGTAGCTTTCTGAAAGATTAGTGGTCAGGATTCCATATCGAGCCCCACCATCGGAACAGAGTGCCCACTTCTCTAATGGCAAAGCCAACAACCAGTCATATGCCTCCTCCCGTTGTGACTTAATTTGTTGCATTGTTCTATTGAATTCAGAGACATCTGGGGTACTAGCTGCATGATACATCAAGCCCTTCAGTTTTTTGCTATTGAACTTCTTCTGAAAATTACTTCTCAAGTGGCGCGGCAATATCTCCTGGTGACACGCTGTTCCAATAATTGGGGGATAGTATTGAAAGCTACATCAATGCCACCGTGCCTATCAGAAATGATGCACACTGACATATCATAAGGTACTACATAATGCATTAAATGCATCATGAACCAGCTCCAACTATCCCCGTCTTCTTTGTCAACAAGGGAATAGGCTAAGGGGTAAATCTCGTGATTTGCTGTCATTGTTACTGCCAACAACAACACCCCCTTATATTTCCCATACAAGTGGGTGCCATCAACAGAGATCACGGGAAAACAATACTTAAACCCATCCATAGACGCTTTGAAAGACCAGAAAACATACATGAACTGAAAAGTATGTGGCGTTGTTGTTGGCCGCATTTGTATTTCGGCCACTGACCCAGGATTGCTTTGAATCAACGCCGCTAACAAAGGCAATAGCTTGTTATACGAATCCTCCCAGGATCCGTACAGTCGTTGAATGGCATTCGACTTAGCTAACCAACATTTCTTATACGACACAGAAACTTGAAATAAGTCGTATATATCTTTAATGATGTACCTCACCTTGTAATCAGCATCAGCAGCAATTTTAGAGAATATAATTCCCAAGATGAGCTTGCTTGTAATAAGCTTATCGTCCTTCAATTTATAGAGTATTGTGAAATATTTTTTTAGTTGGATGAATTGTATGGTGCAGGATTTTTAGTAGTGTAATGTGAGATTTTTTTAGTTGGGTGAATTGAATGGTGTAGGATTGTTTGTAGTGTAATGTGAGATTATTTTTAGTTGGGTGAATTGAATGGTGTAAGCTTGTTTGTAGTGTAATGTAGACATTTTTTTAGTTGGGTGAATTGAATAGTGTTATATTGAAATTTATACAAATTAATATCTACCCAAATTTAATACAATAATAAAGATGTTATCATCCAAACTAATAGAAGAATAAAAAGTTTTTATCATCCAAATTAATACAATAATAAAAAAAATTAAAGTATGATAAATGGATGGTCATCTAAGAAGTACAATAAATGGACGGGCTGTTTAAGAAGAAGGTGCGCCGCTGCTAGTACCGAATTGAGGGGAAGGGGTGGTTTTGGATAGAAAATTATTTTTTTTGGATTAACGGTACAGGCAGTACCGTTAATTGATTTAATTTTTTTTTAAACTTTACGGTACAAGCAGTACCGTTAAAATTTTTTTCCACCTGTGATTCTTAGCTTCTACAACCACTTTACTTCACATCTTTAAAAAATTGAGCCTAATAGAGACAGTTATAATAAATGCCTAACCAATCTAAAAATACTACATCTACATTAAATATACTCCGTAGTAAATAAGTTCTATTTCATCTGAAAAATAGAACACATAAATAGAAATATTGGAAAACGGTCAACTATTAGCAAAAATAACACTTCAAACCTCTCAAATCTTTTAAAAAAATTTAAAATTCCTTACATTATAACTGCTATATTAATAGCGTCACTTGATAGCAGTTAATCAAACAGAAACATACTATTAATTCCAACCCTTGTATTCCCAGCATTTTATCCATTAGCAACTTGTATCTCAAGAGAGTTCTGGACTATGAGAAATAAACCTTTATGAAATTTTCAACTTGCATGAACTCTATATATGCTGATAAGTCGGGTTTGGGTTAGTACTTTTCATTCTTTTTTAGGCATTTTTAATATTTTTTGAGTTTAATTTTTAATTGTTTTGCGTAGTTTTATTTTAATTCTAATGTTTACAATCTTTTAAATTTCTTGAATAAAACGTAGTTTTTAATTTTTTTTACATCTTATTATTTGTATTTTTTTTCCTAACCCAAATTATCAGATATCTTATTTTTTTGGAGAAAAGTGCAGCAAAAGGCCAAATTGAAACTCAAGTTTGAAAAGAAGAGAATCGAATTTGGGCCGGAGCCCAAACCCAACTTTAATGAAATTAGCCCAACCACTCCATACCAATCCAATTTCACGCACCAGTAAAAGAAAGAAAAGGAGTCTACGACTCCTTTGTCGTCGTCAACGGAACGAGCATAAACCGGCGAAGCATTCAACGCTCCAACGTTCGGCTCCATCAATTTCGTGACAATCAATTGCCAACGGGAAGAAAAACTTCGACTATAAATTGAGCACAGAATCACCATCAAGAAAGGGGGGAAGTATCACCGAGAATAAGAGAGCCGCGGCAACTGAAATTGAAGCCGCGCACCAGGGGAGGAAGCAGACGGCGGCGGACCACTGCTCACCGGCGGACGACGATGGTGGGCAGCAACTTTTCTTCAAGCTCCAATCCCTTAATTTCTTCATCTTCTTCAACAAAGTGGTAACCCTAGCTTGTTTCTCCCATTTTCTTCTCCAAATCTTTGTTAAGTGTTGTTTTTTAGTTTAATTTTTACATATTTTCCCCTTGTTTGTATTAATTTCGAAAATTCCAAAAATGGTTAGTGTTCTTTCATGGTTTTTTTATATGTTTATATTAAATCCCTTATGAATGAGAATTGATTCACACTAGTTTTCTTCAATTATTGCACAAGTTGTTGAATTGGTTGGATTGTTAATTCAAATTCGTAAGTAGGTTGGTATGTGGAATTCAGTTTTTGTTGAAGCTATTTTAGCTGCATAAGATAGTTAAATAAACTCTGAACTCATACGTGTTTCTTTGTTGTGCTTGTGTTCGTTGATTTTAAGGAATTTGGACTTCTTAGCCCCATAAGTTGATTCATTTTTCTTAGAATTCGTTATGGAGTGATTTTGTTATGTTATGTGTTAGTTTTCCATTTTCTTTAAATTGAGATTGTTTAAGTGCAATAAACAATTCTTGATTTATTGAAAATACGTTGTGTTCTTCTATGTGAATAGAAAAAACATCATTGGTTTGAGAAGTTCATGGAAATCTGTGAAATGTGCTCTTCATTAGGAGAAAAAGTTTATTAAAATGCATAAGGTATTGGCGGTTTGTGAATAAATTATGCATGAGAGTTAGAATGAAAAAAAATTCGCTCTTTTATAAACTTTTTCTATAGTGGAAGTATGTTTTCATGCTTGATTGGTGAGTTGTGGTTCTTGATTTGCCTCATTATGAAATTCTTGAATCACATGACTCCGGGCCGTGTGGAGAGTTGACAATCCTCCATATCGTGGTTAAGGAAATGAATCGACTCTACCTTTGACTGATTTTTCCTATTCTTAAGTGCGTAAGTTACGTAATATATTGTCTACGTGCCTATTATACGTGTAATGTTCGATTTGTGTTTGTTCTCTTTTCTATTTTGTTTCGGGTTCTTGGCGGTGTTTCTTGGATTACCTAAGTTGGAGAAGTTGATTATCTTTTGAGCTTGTTTTCCCCCATTTTATAAAAAAGAACCAAAAAAATAAGAAAAAATAAAAGCCAAAAATATTTACTTTTTACTCAACCCCCCCCCCCCCCCTCGTGTTTTAAGTTATAAATATAAGTTTTTATACTTTTTAGTATATCTTAAGTATGTGTTTTATGTTTATAAGTTATATTATAAGTTCTTTGTTTATATAAGTTATATTTATAAGTTTTTAAATTTATTTAGTTATAAATTTATTATAAGTTTTATAAGTGTTATCATATTGTGTACTAGTTTGTTTTTTTATTTTATTTCGTGACAACGTGTTTGCATACTAAATTGGTTTTAAAAAATACAAACTTTCTCCGTGGGATCGACCCTTACTTGCCCTAGCTATAGTTTTAGTTTGATTATATCTTGGGGGTTAGCTAAGGACATTAATAAATTTTTTAATTTGTTTTGGACCGCACGACGGGTCCTCAACATATGCAATGGAGTATTCCACCCACGGGGAAAACTATTGAGCAGAATAAATAGAAAAACAAAGGCAGCTCTTTAAAACAAAATCAGAGGAAAGAGCTCTTTAACGAAACAACATATATACTTGTAACTTCATGTTGAAAACATACTGAAACCACCTAATTAAAATTCAGAAAACCATGGCTAAAAATACTTTCACTTGCCCATTAACAAAAATAATGGAGGACTATGGTCTTACCTCAATGTCACCACCGTGCAAATACTGCTCCGACATGCTAACCTGTAGGAGCAGAAAAAAATATATAAACCAACAAATAGATCTGCACGGATAAATATTCGTCTTCATACACTTATGGTGCCATAAATTAATTAAGAGTTCTTGAATATATTGATAGAAATAACATCAAGGAAATGATGATAAAGCCTCATTAAATGATGCAGTGAAATAAAGCCTAATTACTTTAATTTGCACATGCTTAATGATAAAGCCTCATTAAATGATGCAGTCAAATATAGCAATTTGTGTAAGCTAAGTTGGTTTGACTTTCTAATATATGATAGTAGATTTTTTTATATGCAAGGACAAAAATACAATGCCTAGATATAGCTTAGTTTACTCAATAGAAGAACCTTAGATGAACCAACCTGAACAACTTCCTTAGATGAACCAACCTGAACAACTTATTTGACAAATTCTCTTACACTTCAAAATGTCCCAAAAGTAAAGAGAGTCATCACTACAACCAACTGCAATACAATAATCTTCCTATTCCTATGACAAAAGAAGCAAAAACCCATAGTTCAAGTGTGTAAGAAAGATATGCACTCGTAAAGACTTATTGTTGTAAAGATTGAATATTATGAATTTGAATAGATAAAGTGCAGACCTCCCATGTTGAAGAGATAAAGATATTAAGAAACATAAACCTCTTTTTTCCCAAATACATTTCTCCTTGCTGTGTTGCTACTGTGAACCACCAAATCCCATCCATGAGACGGAATAAGTATTTTAGTAAATAACAAAAACCGCTCCCTATTTTTTGGATAAGAGTGCACATTCCACAACAAAGTTACAATAATATTTTGATAGCAAAACTCTTCTTAGATTCTCCCATTTAAACCTTGCAGAAACATGCTCTTAATTCATATTGTTGCATACTCACTCGTAATTTTCTCATAACTTGCAAGCTAATCTTAAATTTTGCAGTTTTCATAAAAAAATGTTAGCTAAAAATCTTCATACCTAAAATCAAAACAATCATTTTACATCGTATTTCAGTAGCAAAAGATTGATATCAAATTAGCTTTCAAACTTATAATATCGGTAGATTTGGAGATACCAAGCTCCAAGTCTAACTTTATAACACATCCTTCAATTAAAATAGGATGCAAAATGTTTTTGATCTCTCTCAAATTTTTGAAGACCCTAAACATATAAAAAATGATAAAAACAAATGAATAAATTGTATGGACTGTCAACGAAACCTGCTCAACAAACTATTTATCGAACACATTTCTATTGGCAGGTAAAACAATCCATTAAAAGTTCACATGGACGAAATCAGATACTTGCTCTAAACCATAATTAAGTTCTTGTTTTAACTTGGGCCACGTAGGTAAGAAAAAAACTTGTGAAACGAGGGAGTATAATTTTCAATAATGGTTGCATCTACATTTTTAGTTCAAGATAATGTTATATACTGTTATCACAATTTGGTCAAACTCCCGAACACAATACAGTATCCACTATTCAAAATAGAAGGAAAAGACAAAGGGCTTTGTTTTATTTTTGGTATACCAAATATGAGATTGAATGACACAAGCCAAAATGTTGATACCTCTAAATAGCTCTCAATATAATAGAAAATATTAGCTTTGAAAAACACTGTATTAAATGAAAACATGCATTGCAGAAGTAGAAATAGTAGTGGTATTCTTGCTAAACTTCTTACCCACAAGTATGAAGGTGAAATCTGCAATCCTTTTCTCAATCTCCCTGACCATTTTATCACGTACTCTAAGAAGAAATGTTCCCGAGCTTGTTCGCACCCTATGAGCAATTAAAAATAATAAAGTTGAAGGATGGACATGCCTAAATGATGCTCAGAGAGATGAGATGCTTGCCTGCGATCTTTGCTCTTGCCAGTTTCACTATCAACCACACAGTTGACTTTTGCATGTGGGGTTTAGCAAGGTTAATCAAATATTCACATTCTTCCTTGGACTGGCAGAGGAAATATCAAGGGTAAATTAGGTCAGTGGCTTCTCCTAGCAAATGACGACATGACAAATGGGAAAAGATATATCATGGTGTGCTTCAATTTCTACTGAGATTTCTCAAAAAATGGGAATACGATCAAAAAAACATGTATACACAAACTTTTTAATCGTATTCGATTGGCATATGAATTTTGGAAACTTACCTAATCTGAAATCAAGCGAATTTGGAGAACTTCATTCGATGACGAAGTCTGTGATGAATTTCTTTCCTTTGGCGATGAAATCAAGCGAAAAATCGTGCATTTTTGGAGAAGAATCAGGGATGAAGATGCTTGGAGATGTAATATGCGAAGAAGAGGGAATTGGGAAAGTCTTCGACAGTAGAAAGTATAAGAATGAGACGCGTGTAAACATTAAAATAAAACCCAAGTGCCGCATGTCATCATTCTACACATTACACTCTCAAATTTTATATTAAAAAATAGAAGGGTAGCATGGGTAGTGCTGATTAAAAAGAGTGCAAATTAAAAAAATAAGAATAGAACTATTTAGGTCAACCTCCAATGCTTAGGTGCTCTTTTGAGTAAAAAGGCATCGTGGGTCAGTGGTTTCACTGATAAAAAATAGTAAATCTATACTATATTTAAAAAGAGGGGAATTCTTCATTCTATTTTCCCGCCTAAACATTTTAGTCACAAACGATAAGTTCTAAAACTTGAAATGGTAACTGCCGTGTACAAGCTAAGATAATTTTATGATTATTTGCTCTCTCACTTTTATTTCATAGTTATTATTAATTATTAAATTATTAATTATTATGGTACCATGTAATAATAATAATAATAATAGAAAAGGTAACATGTGAAACTTTAATATTAATATGGTAATAATATGATACCGTATAATAATATTAATAATAAACGTAATAATTATTATTAGTACCGTGTATAATAAAAAATGTAACATGTGGAACTTAATTTTAAATTATGAATTATTAATGAAGTAATTTCGTACCTCATAAATTTGGTACATCGTACTAAAAATGGTAAATGTGAAACTTTAATTATTAAAAAGTTAATTTCATACCTTACAATTTTTTGTACCGACTATAATAAAAAAGGTAACATACGAAAGAATAATAACATGGTAACAATATGGTACCGAATAATAATAATAATAATAATAATAATAATAATAATAAACGTAATAATAGTAATAAAGCTAAGTTAGTTTTGTACTATTAATGTGTATAAAAGCAAAGGAAAGTGTTGACTTGGTTTAAAAAAATATATTCTCATACCTTATATATTTTACCAAAGTTATAAATTATAATATTAACTATTAATTATTAATAAGGTAATTTCATACCTTATTTTTTTGTACGTGTAATAAAAAAGGTAAAATTTAGAATAATAATAATAATAATAATAATAATAATATGAAAATAATATGGTACCGTATACTAATAATCATCATAATATAATAATAAACGTAATAATAATCAAAGTATGTTAGTTTTGTGCTTTTACCATGTATAAAATAAATCAAAGTGTTGACTTGATTTTAAAAAAATATATTCACACACCTTATATTTTTTTACCAAAATTATATATTATAAAATTAATTATCAATTATTAATAAGGTAATTTCATACCTTATATTTTTCCAGTATCGTGTAATAAAAAATGTAACATGTGAAACCTTAATTATTTGTTATTAATTATTAATTATTAATTATTAATTATTAATTATTAATTATTAATTATTAATTATTAATTATTAATTATTAATTATTAATTATTAATTATTAATTATTAATTATTAATTATTAATTATTAATTATTAATTATTAATTATTAATTATTAATTATTAATTATTAATTATTAATTATTAATTATTAATTATTAATTACTCCGTATTAATTATTAATTATTAATTATTAATAAGGTAATTTCATATGTTATAGATTTTGGTACCATGCATAATAAGAAAGGTAGCATGTGAAAGAATAAAAAGAATATGGTAATAATATGGTGCCGTATAATAATAATAATCATTGTAATAAACGTAATAATAATAATAGAGTAGCAAATTATAGTGGCTTGAAGATTTCAATATGCAACGAACACAATGTTCTCACAAATTGTACGAATAATGCAGTTTACAAAAAGTCGTTTGAAATTTCTAAGCAAAAAACTTTTGTACTTTAAAATAATAAAATCTCTATATTCTATTACATATCATAATTTATCATTAAAAATGATCTTATTTTAGTAACGTAAGTATGACCCGTGCAGAGCACGGGTGTGATACTAGTTATTTAAATGGTAATTTATAACTGAGAGTTTTTCATATTCAATCCTCATTTATCAAATGCAGTCTTTATAGAGCTGTTAAATGGAAGGCATTTAATTTAGGGCTTGGTTAGGAAAACCGCAAACCGCAAACCGCAAACCGAACCGAAATCGATCGAAACGAGCTAGAAAAAAAACCGAACCGAAAAAACCGAAACCGAATGTAAAAAAACCGAACCGAACCGTTAGTGTTTGGTTCCGTTTTGGTTTTCACTTTTAAAAACCGAACCGAACCGAATAAACCGAACTTTCTTAGATACTTCGCTTTATTTATATGAATATATGTGATATGTAAAAAAAATTATAGAAATATAAACACAAATAAATTACTAGTCGATTAAAATTATTTTCTTAACTATTAATTAAACATTCTAGATATATTATTATAAACTTTGAAAAAACCTAAGAATATAAACACCAATAGCTAATCCTAAAATAGAATTATATTAACATTAAAAATTGATACGAGTAATTTACATATTTACATAACAAATACTTTGATGTTATAATGAAAATGAAAGTATTATACCAAAAAACCTAAATTCTTCGTAATTGATTTTACATACGATTTCTTTGGAAGTATTTGGAATCTTCTAAATGTTTGTTGCACACTCAACACATATTTTTTATGTAAAATTGAACCAAAATGAACAATGACCTTCCGTTTGGTTTTGTTTTTTGTGTAAAAATCAAACAAAAAAACCAAAGCTAACACTACATATTGTTATTGTTTCATCGAGTTAGTGTTTTTACTATTTTTTAATGCTTATAAATTTCTACTTTTATAAACCGAAAAAACCGAAAAAACCGAGATAAAAACTGTATAAAACCGAACCGAATAACCAACGGTTTACATATTTTTTATGCAAAACCAAATCGAACCGAACCACCAATTTACCTTCCGTTTTGTCTTTGGTTTTGGGTGAAAACCGAACCGCCAAAACTTAACCCACTTTCACCCTACTCTTCTTCGGACGCCTATTTCCTGAGAAGCCTAATCGACATCATCAATTTACAATTACAATTACTCCATCTTCTCTCTGTACTTGCTTCCAAGATCAGGCACGCAACACCCGGGGTTTACAATTAACCGAGCCATATCCGAACATGTCAATGTTTGAAGGTAATTCTAGCCATTTCGAACTATATTTTCATAGAATCTTTATATCTTCTCCAATCCCTCATGCGTTTGGAAGTAGTTTTGATATTTTAGTATCGATTCCCAAAATCAATCTGGCATTTATTATGTTTAAATTTTGAGCTTTAGATATCTAAATAAGTTTTAAGCTTAGATATCTCCTTTTGTTGTGCTCTTTTTTGCCTCGGAGGTACGGATAATGGACGACAAGGTGGAAGTCCTGATCCATTAATGGCGGAGGCTCTTGCTTGTAAAACGACTCTTTGCTAGTTAAAGGAACAAAAAGTCCGCAATGTTGAGGTGATTTCTGATTGCGAGGTTTTGGACTTTTGGTGGGCGCTCTTCAACTGATATGCTCGTTTGTATGTCATTCATACTTAGAGCACTGGTAATGCATGTAACGCCGAGGGGCGTGAGTGGGCGTTTCACGCCCAGGGGGCGTCAAACACCGCTCCCTTGCGGCATTACCCCGGCGTCATGCGTTTTGCGCCATTCGTTTGACGCGTTGGCTTCTCCCCTTTTAGCCGTTACCCCCTCCTCCCAAATAAAAAAAATTCTAAATTTAAAAAAAAACTATAAATTCCCCTAAAAAATCTTTCTCTCACACATTTCTCTCACACATTTCTCACTATCTTCTCTCTAAAATATTTATTATTTATTATAAATATTTATAAAATATATTTTAAAAATGGGATCATCTTCATTCGACGATGAAAAAAGAGCTCTCATTTTTCGTTGTTTCGCCACGAGTTGTATTCAATGGTGGGAAGAAGGCGAAGAAGAAGAAGCCGAATCCTCCCGACGCAGACCCGACGGCAACGTTTAAACCGCGATCGAGCGGCCGCCCACGCTTCACTTCTAAACGACTACTTTAATAATCCGTGTGTTTATACACCGGAGGATTTTAGTAATCGTTTTTGGATGAGTCGTCCTCTCTTTTTACGCATCCTCGCCGATGTTGAACGCGAGGTTCCTTGGTTCACCCAACGCTTTGATGCGAGAGGCCGACGCGGGTTTAGTAGTGTCCAAAAGTGCACTGCCGCGCTCCGTTAGTTGGCGTATGGGACGGCATCTGATATGTTCGACGAATACTTGAAGATGTCGGCTCGGAGCATCAGGTCCTGTGTTTATAAATTTTCTAAAGCTATTATTCAAATTTATCATAAAAGATATTTACGCAAGCCTACAGCGAGCGACATTCAACAGTTACAGGCAAGGCATGCCGCTAAATAACACGGCTTTATCGGCATGCTTGAGAGTATTGATTGCACGCATTAGGAATGGAAAAATTGTCCCACTGCGTGGCACGGTCAATTCTTCCGGGGACATCATCCCAAGCCTACAATCATGCTCGAAGCTGTTGCTTCACATGACTTGTGGATTTGGCACGCTTTTTTCAGTGTCGCGGGCTCGAACAACAACATCAACGTTCTCGATCAATTGCCTATTTTTGACGATTGGATTAATGAGACCGCACCCGACTCGTCTTTTGAGCTTAGAGGGACGCTTTACAAGCGTGGATATAACTTGGCCGATGGAATATATCCAGATTATTCCACGATTGTCAAATCCCTCTCTGAACCAATGGGTCTTAAACGTCATACCTACAAAAAAGCTCAAGAGGCGGCGAGAAAAGATTTTGAACGAGCCTTTGGGGTCTTGAAGGGTAAATGTCACATTCTAGATCGACCATCGAAATGTTATTCTCAAACAAAAATGAGGAATATCATGTACGCATGTATTATTCTTCATAATATGATCATAGAGGACAACGGGACTGCGATTTGTCAATACAACCCGGACAAGGAGGTGTCTATGTACGAAGAAATCAACGAAGAAAAGAAACGAAGAAACCGCCAAGAAATTCGAAGCCGAGAGATTTACAATGCACTAACTGTGGATTTGATCGAACATATTTTTAGTCACTTGAATAATTAGTAATTTCTTTGTAGTGTTGTTTTTTTATGTAATATTTTTTTAATGAATTTAATTTTTTTTATGAATGTATTTTTTATGAATGTAATTTTTTTTAATGAATGTAATTTTTTTATGAATGTATTTTTTATGAATGTAATATTTTTTTTAATGAATGTAATTTTTTTAATGCACTAGTCTCATTGCGATTAATTTAAATAATAAATTAATTTAAATTTATTAATTTAAATTTAGAAGATGTATAATTAAAAATGTAAAAAATGAAGGTTTGAAGCCCCAGTTTGAAGCCCTGGGGCTTCAAACCCATTTCCAGTGAATCTGTGAGGTAAGTTAAAGCCGACGTGGCAGAGAGAGAAATTTTGAAGCCCCGGGGCTTCAAGAGTATTTCCCGTGCTCTTAGGCTTTATTATTTAAGATTGTTTGGAGTTATCTCTTTCTTTTTTTCTAGAATCATCTTTCATTTTGTTAGCAGGAATTACAATTCTGTTGCTCACAGTGGCGGATCTAGGAAAAAATATGACTGGGGCAAATACACATTAAAGAGTATGGTGGGGTTCATGGGTGGCACTCCCGATTTTTTTAAAACGTTTGATAATGATAAAAATAAATAAGTTTAATTTCAAACAAGTATTCAAATAAAAAAATTATTTTTAAAGTAGAAAAATAAAACATAAAATATATCATAATAGAATATAATTATGATATTTCAAATATTTTACTTGTATATGTTTTTAAGTGATTATTTTTTTACTTTTAAACTAAGATTTTCTTTTGTCAGTGGGGGCAAACTATACTAATTTTTTATCGGGTCATTCTTTTAACTCACTACACAAAATATTATTTAAATACTATATGGTCCCGTTTGGTACAAGGAATTCTAAATATGGAATTGGAATTGAGGACTTCAATTCCAATTCTCATGTTTGGTAGCACAAAAATTACGTGGATTTGGAATTGGTAGTGCATAAAAATGAATTGGAATTGGTGAATTCAATTCTATGGAATTGAATCCCCATGGAATTTTAATTCCAATTCAATTCCAATTTTATCAATTCCGTGTACCAAACGGACCCTATATTATGAAGTAAAAGAAATTGACGGGGGCGACTGCCTCCGTATTCATACATGTAGATCCGCCCCTGGTTGCTCATACTCTTGCAAGGAGTGCTACGTCTTAGTCCAGTCTTGGGAGCATACACAACCTGATTGTATTTCTCATTTAGTTTCTTCAGAATGAAAGTTGGTTGTTTGGTTTTCAAAAATAAAACAAAAGCTAATATACTTAATTTTAACTTTTGCTAAAGTAAATATGAGAGTCAGGTGATGGGTCGAGTGACAAGTGAGAAAATTAGGTTTGGTTGTTCGGTTATCAATCCAAATTGTCAACCCTACTTATACAAAATGTTAGTTTGATACTGATATTTCGTGCGAGATTCTGCCAGTGTAAAACGTGGTGTGCACACAACATGCACAGTGTTGAACAAATAGCATAAGACTTCGTTTAGTACGCGGAATTCAAATTATGGAATTGAAATTGGAGACAACAATTCCCATTCTACTGTTTGATAGCACAAAAATATGTGGATTTAGAATTAATAGTACTAAAAATGAATTAGAAATGAAAAATTCAATTCAATCCAAATCAATTGTATAGAATTTCAAATTTCAATTCAATTTCAATTCTATCAATTCTGTGTATCGAACAGACCTTGAATATATTCTGATTTCACCCCACCTCCTCACCCGTCGATTATCATCTCTCCCGAATGACTAAATTTTAGAAGTAAAACATAAAAACAACATCGTTGGTGTATAGTCCGTAGTGCGTACCTAACATGCTTGAATGCTTGATACTCCTCCCCAGTTAAACTCATTTTTGGTATATAATATTTGACTAAAATTATTAAAACTTATTTATTTGAAAATTGATATGAAAAAAACATGTACTACCTCCGTCCCATTTTATAACACCTGTTTCGGTTTACGATGTTTGACTGAAATTATTTTCAAACCATTTTATATTACAAATGGTATAAAATTAAAAAATAAAAATTACATATTAAAAAACTACATCAAAAGATCTACAAAACTAGTAGTGACAATAATATTTTATTTTATCAAATTGCTAACGAAAATAGAGAAAGAAAGTGAATAAAGTTTGACCCTGTGAATAGTAAACATGCATTATAATTTGGGACGAAGGGAGTACTTTTTAACACATCAAAAGTTAATTAAGAGATTGTATGACTATTATTTTAATAAACGAATAACAAAACTACACAAAGAAAATTGGCAAAATTTGACCAAGTAAATAATAAATAAACAGCTTAAATCCAAGGTCTATATAGTATATAATAAATACTACATCCTTTCCAAAAAATTGCGACATTACACAATACAGAGCGATATTTTAAGTTTTTTCAATTCATTTTGTTAAAAAATTGGTATAAAAAAATAAAACTAAAATATTTAAAAACTGCATCCAAAGTTCTTCAAAACAAGATGTGACAAAAATATTTTATTCTATGAAATAATCAATAAAAATGCACAAATAAGCAGAAAATTTTGTGATTTTTGAGTAATCAAAGTGGCATTATTTTTGGGAGTTTTTGGATGGGAGAGAAAATTAAAGACATCCCTGGAAAGAACAAGAAATGCTAATGGGAGAACAACAATGGCATATCCCGTCCTCTCAAAATATCAAGGCTCGTAACAGGGGATATAATCAAGAAATGACCACTCAAATGGTCAAATTGTAAAGAAAAGATGTCTCTGTACATCAGCAGGCTAGGGGTAAATCAGGTTAAATGGCGAAACTAATTTCTCCCTAAAGTTGATGTAACCTTCGTACTCTTGGCAATAAGAATTAAATATGGACATAATAAAACCAGCATCAGGCCTACTCAACATTAATGTGGACGGGATCTCTTGCTGCTGCAAGAGGAACACTTGTAGTGCTTCAAGTGCTGGGCTTTAGCAGGGGTAATTTTCACGCACCTTCCATGGAACCACCTTGCACATGATGCATCACAGCATATCCAGAAGTCATCCAGTCCATCCTGGAGCCCGCAAGCACCGCACATGGTGTTACTGTGCTCCTCTTCGTCTTCCTGTCCATCCTCTGCACAATTTGGGTCCAAGTCCGTGGATCTTCCTCGGTGATATTCTACGGGTGCCCTTTTCTTCTTTTTTAAGTTTTTTTCACAAAAAAAAAGAAAAAAAATGTAGTTCAGTGCTAAATAGTGACATCATACTAAGCAGGGGTGATCTAAGATATTAATTTGCACTCAAGTAGCCTAATGGGGCAGTACCTCACACACATGATACATGCATGTAAGAGTGCTAGTTAGTTCGGTCAAATTGGTTTAGGCCAGTTTGATTTCAAAAAATGTATAACCAAAACCCTTCTTTCAGCATTTGTCACATACGGTTTTTTCAGTTTCAGAAGTTTTATTGGTTTCGGTCAGTTTTCAAAACCCCCTATGACTAGACCAACCAATTCTGGTAAGAGTTTTTTGGTCGGTTCGGTGTTTGTCACTTTAGTTAAGATCTTGTTGTCAGTTGATTTTTCGATTTGCAGTTTTATTGTTCAGCCCTACATGCGAGATTTTAAAAAGTATGCACTGATCAAACTATCAAAGCAATGCAAAGTTACAGCATACCAATTCGGAACTTGGTTTCAATTTGCGGCGACTAAGGTCTAAGAGTGAAATTCTCTCTTTAAGTTGTTTCTTTGCAGCGGCAGTCACAATCTCAAACACTGTAGGCAGCTCGTTTATCATGTTGAAGAGTGTCTTCCTGCATATTAAAAATGGCGTCAAGATGGTTGAATGCTGCTTTGTCAGTATACTTTGATTAAAAGTATCTCTGACCAGCATAGTTGTCATGGCGCATGGCGACATTCATGGCGATGGGCCAATATCGTATGGCGATGGCGCAAATATGGCATCGCCACAGGACAATAGTCACACAATATTAATTAACTAATATTCGCACATGTATAAGGCATTAATTCTAGAAAAAATAATAGAGCACTTGATCTAAATAGTCATGTAGTAAAAAAATTATGGCAGAAAATATGTGTAAATTATTAAGGAGAAGTATAATAGGGTAAATCACCTCAAAAAAATGAAGGCAAGAAAAAAAATAATGGCAGAAAAATTATGCCAGAAAAAATTTATGGTAGTATAATTGAGCAAAAGTATAATAAGGTGAATAACCTTTAAAAAATTGGCAGTATAATCAAAGAAGTATAATACTCCCTCCGTCCCACAAAAAAGTTCCCATTTTGACCATAAATTGGTCAAACAGTAACACGCTTTGACCATGAATTAAATATAATCTAAATAAGGAAATGCTAATAAAATTTGAGATATCAAAACTAGATCCTAAGATGAATCCAATTATATTAAATTTATTTTATAATACAATATACATTTCTCACAATTTGTAGTCAAAGCGTGTAAATATTTGACTAAATACTATTCAAAATGGGAACTTTTTTGTGGGACGAAGGGAGTATGAGTTAAAAAAAGACAAAGGAAGTATATGACAGATCACCTTTAAAAAAGAAAATTACCGATGCTTTCTAGAGTCGCACCCTCCCAAGTCGCGAATTCCACTATAGCAGGTCCTCTCTTTCGTAGATCTGCTATGGCGAGTCGCAGACCTCTGTCCCAGTGGCAATCGACTTCCCGTGTCGATTGGGAAGAATGAGCGATTGGCCAGAGGACTAAATAAAGGTTTAATTTTTTGTATTGGGCCTAATTTATTGGATTTGGGTCGGCAAAAACAAAAAAAATGGCGCATAAATGGCGATGGCATGGCAATGGCGCACAATTGGCGTTGCCACGCGTCAGTCGACCGCCACAAACCACTTTATGGCGTTTCCTATCCAAATCGCTAAAGGCGCATATATGGCGCGCGCCATTTGCGCCATTGATAACACTGCTGACCAGGAGATGTAGAAGTGAACCCCAAAAAATGAACAATTGGAGTGGGAAGATGCACATGCACAACCTTCCCAATTCCTATTATTTTAGACATCATACTTATTTCTATAAGGAGTGGTACATGTGGAAGATAAGCTACATGAAACTAGGTTGGGGTGGTTTGGGCACTTAAGGAGGAGAAGTTTAGAGACCTAATGAGGAGATGCGAGAGGTTTACGGTAGTAGAAGGGGTAGGGGACCAACGAAGAGTTGGAAGGAGCTGATTAGACTGGATATATGACTTCAAGATGTTACCAAGGATATGGCCTTAGATAGGAGTGCAAGGAAATCTAGCTTGTGCATGTGTGTTTTCTGTGCTGTGGGTCTAGTTGCGAGTGTCTGTATCTTTTGGCTGCTCTTACTTCATTACTTTGTATGTGCTTTTGTGTTTAAGTCGGCGTCTCTCGAAAACAACCTTTAGATTCCAAAGTGAATAAACAAACCAAGTAGTCACCAAATATGAAGTTCTTTGTATTAGACAATCAAGGAAAATGCAGCCCATGCGTACATTCCCGTAGATCATATATGATTGACAATTGGACAAAATTACCTAAGATAGGATTAAATCATTGTAGGTTTACATGAATGGGACCAATTTTTATTTTTACATGAATGGGACCTATAATCTCATATTCCCATGCGTCATATTTTATGCCATTTTTACGCTTACGTTTTTTTTTCATTTTTAAGGAAGAGAGAACATAGGCATGTGGGCAATTTAGTCAATTTGTGTACGTTTTAGTCCCATGTTTGAAATGAGTCCTATTTGTGTCAACTAGTATTGATTTAATCCTATTCTTGTAATTTTCTCATGACAATTGATCTTACTGCAGGTATGGTCATATGGAGAATGCTAGGAAGATTGCAAAATGATTAGACAACTGAGTTTTATAAATAATGTTTAGTGCACACCTCTCACTTTTATCAAATCCAAATCTGGCAGCAAAGTAGAAAGCAACCGAAAACAACCACCCTTCACTGTGGGCAGCTACTAATGCCAGCCATTCCTTAGCACGCATCCCATCTCTTGCAAAGTTGATACCCAAAGCAGGTTCTGGAATCTCTGAAGGTACTTGTTCTTCAGGTAAAGTAACAGACCACCTCCCATTGGGATATCCAACCAAGCAAAAGTTCTCTTTCTCTGTACAGAGAGAAATATGTACACTGATTGATTATTCCTAGATGATTGAAGCCTATAATGGCAAAGAAGACACAAGAAATTTATCCATATGAGCTGCTTCAATGTTAAAAGTTTGGCACAAACAGTAGACAATAACTACAAACCGTTGAAAAGTGGTTTACCCAGCGAATTGCAAGTCGCATCCCAAAGATGCATAGCAGGAATATTCCTTACAATGAAGAGACATGAAAAAACAGAAACACCAACAGATATAATGACAAATAAAAAACAGAGTGTTCCCCTGACTTTAATATATTCAGTATCAATGACTGTTATTTACGGATAACAATAACAAAAGCAACAGATTAAATCTCTAATATAAACTTGAAGTATCCAGCTATCAAATATTAGGATCCAAAGTTGATGGAAATTTAAACAAAATTTTGCAGCACAAAGAATGAAATAAACAAGAAATTAAAAACAAAAATGGAAGAGGTAGAAACTCCATTTTCGTAATAAACCATAGATGAAACCTGCGGATTCAAAGACAATTACACTGGGAAAAAATATGAACGAATTACCGAATGCGTGCAAAGAAGTACTGAAAAAATAAAAATAAAACAAAGTACGGTGTAATTTTCCTGGATCACACTGCTGATAAAAATCTTCCACTTCTGAAACAAGAAAAGTAATGAAATCAGAATTGTCACCATAATTAAAAATATCAAAGAGATAAAAAAAAGGGGGGAATTCTGAAAAATGATTACCAGTTGTAAGGGCAGCAATTATAGCGTTACGACGACCCTTGTAATCATCGAAGACTTGTTCGGGAGTACAAATAAGTTTGCGCCAATCTTGTCCCCCCTCCATTTTAATGTTCTTGATGAAATAAGATCAACAAAATATCGAAGGTCTCAAAAGGATGAAGAAGAAAAAACCACTACGACGTAATGATATACTCTGGAAGAGATTAGGGTTAGTTTTTGAGATTAGAGTTTCAAAAGTACACAAATAGTCTTTATTTATAACTTAGTTTTAAAGTTTAAAAATTCATAAATAGTATTGATCAATCCTCCAAAAACAATCTTTCTTATAGTACACGTTAAAAGATAATATATAATAGTCTTTCATGCACTTATAACTCTCCACACGTAGTTCTTAACTTTCAAAAGTCCATAAGTAGTATTGATCAACCCTCGAAATGCAATCTTTTTTACGGTACACGTTAAATATAGGATTGACTCCAGTGAGATGACACCTTACGGTGAGATGACATGCTTCGATGAGATGACGCAAAGCTCACCAATGGCCAATGTAAAGCTCACCTGGAAATAAAGCAAAGTTGACCATTTTGAACACCAAAACTCACCTTTTTTTAATTTTGAAAATTAAAAAATTAATAAAAAATAAAATAGCAACACCGGTCAACCACCGGTCAGCGGCGGCGGCGCGGCGGAGACCGGCGGCGGCGACCGGCGGCCGGCGGCGGCAGGGGATCGCCGGTGATGGTCAACGGTCAATGGTTAAAGTCTAGTCAGCACCCCTTCCTTTGATTTTTTTTTTAAAAAAATTCAAAGTGTTGAAAAAATATGGTAAGCTTTGCCTTACAGTTTGGTGAGCTTTGTAGTTGTCCTTGGTGAGCTTTGCAGTGGCCAGTAGTGAGCTTTGCATCATCTGGAGTCATTCCCTATATATATATATATATATATATATATATATATATATATATATATACACACACATATATGTACACACATATATATATATATATATAATATGCAATACATGTACCTATATGTAGGTGATTGTTTTGTATGTATAGGGAATTAATGGGTTTCCACAATTCCAATCAAAGTTTTGTATTCTTTATTATACAAATTGAACCCCATTACCCCATTATTCTTTATTATTCTTTATTCCAATCAAAGTCCAAATACCAATGGTCCGGGTCTTGGAACAGAAAAAGAATAGGAATATAAGAGTAAATTAAATAAGTAATGAAAATGGATCGCACACAACAAATGGACTCAAACCGGCGTCCCCTTCTATAGACCATCCGTCTTAGGATTGGAATATTCTTAAGGACGTCGGATAATTCTTTTATTACTCAATATATCACTTACTCTCAGTTACAAGATGCCTTTAATGGCTATTGGCTAAGTCTTTCTCTCTTTCAAAGGGGGCCTTCCTAAACACCATCATCTCAAAATATCTTCTGATGGTTGGGAAAAGATGAGGGAGATATCATTCCCCTTCTTTGATGTTTCCTCCGCTCTAGGCTACACACTAAAGGATGAAATGGACAAATATTCCTCCGTCTCTACTGCCTCAATGATGTCCTAAGGCCTTTTGTCCATTTCTTCCAAGGAGGCGATGCTCTAATATTTAAGGGTGAGTCATGCAAACATCTTGACCCGTTCCCTTCTCTAGGATGGGATCTGTATCCGCTCCAGCCCAATCCTCTCCCTATCTTGGAAGCCTTCCAAGACTTAGTCTTCTCTCTTTATGGACCCGATCTAGGTTAGACTCAGTCCAAATCTTCCTTATCTCGTATGAGTCGTGTCTTCCGCTCTTATGGGCCTTCATTTGGAGTATTTGGGTACATCTTAGGTCTGCCCCCTATTTATCTCGATCGAAAAGGTTCTCATCACATGCCGCTAAAGTAGGACACCAATCCCATTGGGAATGAGTGTGATCTTTTAGGGTTTCTTTAATTGTGTGGGGCCCTTCAATTATTACTTTATGACCGTTGCCTCTCTTCCTCTTCTCCTTATTCCTTCTCTCTAATTCATATCTTCGGCTTCTCTATAAACTCTCCGTTTCTCTTCCATCTTTCTTCATTGCTTCTCATTTTCTCCCAATTCGCGTGCTCTCCACCTTCTTGAACGATTTTTATGTTCCTTCTTTTTCTCCCCCTCCATCGACCATGAAGAAGGTTGAAAAGAGATTCACCAAGGCCGCCACCAGCTTCCCTAATGGTAGTAAGAAATCGAAGGAGGATGAAGATATCTCTTCCATCTTCGAAGACAAACTTAAGGAGATGAGGAATTTGATTTCCTTGTCCTACGAGGTTCATCTAGCGAATGGTACCGCCATGTGACACAACGTCAATCCATTAGGCCGACTCTTCCTCCATTATGATTCGGTGAAGTTGGGCCTTCGCTTCCCTCTCCACCTGCTTTTGGTGGAGATTTGCAATCATTTTGCCATCCCTCCTAGCTAAATCTTCGCTAATTCTCACAAATCCATCTTTTGCTTCTTGGCCCGATGCCACAAAAAGGGCATATATAGAGCCAAGTGTGAGCCTCTTCCTCAACTTCTTCGTTCTGTCCTTATAAATACGACAATGATTGAGGGCGAGGTTCTGTTAGCCTCACAGCCGAGACTGAGAGGCAATTTCTTGCCTGTTCGGTGAACAAACTTGAGGACTAAGGCCACCGCTTCTTTGTGGTGATCATTCTAGAGGACCTGCCCTTCCCCAATATATGGAGGAAGAAAGAGGACACGTTTAGTCTTTACACCTTCCCTCCCTTTACTCCGAGTTGGGACGAGGTCTTTTCTCACCTTCTCAGAAATGGTTATCCACCTCCCCGTAATCTCTTAGCAAAAAACAACTACTTTAGGGGTCACCACCTCACTCTAGATCCCTCCTGCCCATCATGATCTTTTCACTCGCTCTCGATGCCATCGTGTTAGGTTATGGAGCCTGATGCTTAATGATTAAGTTTGCTTAATGGTTAAGTTTGCTTAATAGTTAAGTTTGCTTAATAGTTAAGTTTACTTAATGGCTAAGTTTACTTAATGGCTAAGCTTTCTTAATGGTTAAGTTTACTTAATGTCTAAGTTTGCTTAATGACTAAGTTTTCTTAATGGTTAAGTAAGTAGAGGTTGTAATGCCTATATATATTCTCCTTTGTAGCTAATTTTTTGTAGAGAGGCAAGAGACAAATTCTCTGTAATTGTATGTGCCTGAAATCATCAATAAACACATCTAGGCCGCCGTGGAAGTTTACTCACGGGGTGTTACCACGTTATTTCACGTGTTTCACTTTCTCTCTCTTCTTTTACTCTCTCGTTTTTTCTTCACCTTCTTCATCGGATTGATTGTGAGTGTTCTTGATTCGATCCTAACAACTGGTATCAAAGCTCAGGAGAATCAACACGATCAGTGACGATGGAGAGTTCGAAGGTTGGAATCGAGAAGTTTGATGGATCCGATTTCGGTTTCTAGAAGATGCAGATCGAAGACTATCTGTACCAGAAAGATCTTCACGAACCCTTGACTGGGGTGAAGCCGGATTCCATGACAGAGGAGCAGTGGAAGCTCAAGGATCGTCAGGCGTTAGGGATGATCCGGTTGACTTTGACGAAGAACGTGGCGTTCAACATAGTGAAAGAGAACACTACGGCGGGTCTAATGAAGGCCCTATCAAATATGTACGAAAAACCATATGCGATGAACAAGGTATATTTGATGCGTAGATTGTTCAATTTACAGATGCCTGAAAGTGGATCAGTGGCTAATCATATAAATGATTTTAACATGATTGTGAGTCAACTGTGTTCTGTGGAAATCAATTTTGAGGATGAAATTAAGGCGTTGATTTTGCTGTCATCTATGCCCGAGTCTTGGGATACTGTTGTTGCTGCAATTAGTAGTTCTCGTGGGACTGAGAAGTTGAGGTTCGATGAAATCCGTGATGTTGTTCTTAGCGAAGGTATTCGCAAGAGAGAAATGGGTGATTCATCGGGTAGTGCTCTCAGCGTTGACCGAAGGGGTAGAAGCAAGTTCAAGGGCCAATATCAACATGGCCGATCAAATAAAATCAAAGAATCGAGGCAAGTCTCCGAATAGATCCAATATAACTTGTTGGAATTGTGGAGACAAAGGGCACTTTAAGGTGGATTGTAAGAAGCCAAAGAAGAAGCAGAATCAAAAATCTGGAGATGACAGTGATTCTGTAAATTCAGCAGAGGATATTGGGGATGCTCTAATCCTCAGTGTGGACAGCCCAGTTGAATCCTGGATTTTGGATTCTGGTGCATCCTTCCATTCGTCACCAAGCAAGGAGTTGTTCCAAAATTTCAAATCTGGAAATTTTGGAAAGGTGTATCTTGCTGATAACAAGGCCTTGGTGATTGAAGGGAAAGGGGATGTCTCCATAAAAACACCAACGGGAAATCAATGGACATTGAAAGATGCCAGATATATTCCTGGTCTCAAGAAGAATCTGATCTCTATTGGTCAGTTGGATAACATGGGAGATTGTGAAAGGTGCTATGGTTGTAGCACGAGGCACAAAATTTGGAACTTTGTACACCACTGCAGGGTGCATTAACATGGCTGCTGATGCTGATGGTGTTTCGAGTTCAAGTCTATGGCATGATAGACTTGGACATATGAGTGTTAAAGGAATGAGGATGCTGGCTGCAAAAGGAACATTGGAGGGCTTGACGTCTGTTGATATGGGTCTTTGTGAGAGTTGCGTTATGGGCAAACAGAAACGAGTCAGCTTCACGAAGACGCCAAGAGAGCCAAAGAAAGTACGGTTGGAGATGTTAGAATAAGTGCCCTTCACTAAAGGGGGGTGAATAGTGAGGCACGAGAATGTTTATAAATTTTCGCGGAACAAAAATCGCAGGGATAAAGTAAAGAGTGGAATAAAAAGCGTAAGGAGAGAACACACCGATTTTACCCTGGTTCACCACAACGTGTGGCTAGTCCAGCCTCCCGAGAGACTCTCTCGAGCTACACTATCAACGTTAAGCTTACGGGTGCTTAACAAACCGTTACAACCTGAGAACTCGAGTCCCACGAGCCTCAATACACTTGCTCGGAGATACCGCACTCCAAGACTTGAACCCGAAGGAATATGCCCTTCCTTCGTACAACCAAGGGAACAAACCTCCCTTAAAGTGTTCACAACACTTAACCACTCAAGAACAAAAACTCTCTTAAAGAGTAGAATATGAGCAAACTAATTTAGATCAAGAACACACTCAATTCCTCTAGAAATGGCTCTAAAAAGCTATGTAAAAAGTTTATGGAATGATGCAATGTAAAGCTATGAAATGTGTGAGGAATGGTTGTGAAAAGCAGACCCAAAAGACCCCTTTTTATACCCAAAAACAAGGTGCAACGGTTGGGAGAAGATTGGGGTTGATTGGCTAGATTTGTGGAAATCAAATAAAAGTGGATCTGCTGAAATCTAGCCCGACAGCGCTGTTCATATAGGAACATCGCTGTTTTGGCTTTGACTTTCCTTTAAAAATGGCTAACGGTCATCAAAACATCGATGTCTAGAAGTCTACATCGATGTTGGGGTGTTTGACTTTCAAAAACCACTTCATTAAGGTAAAAATCACGGCTAGCCAAGTTTATGCCGTTTCACATGGTTTTCACCAAAAGACCAAAAACGAAAGGTGGTTTTTAACATTTTTTTGTTGGAAAACCATTTTGATATGTCCAGAAGTAAAAACCAATCATAAAATATTAAAAACCACTTGATTGATTTGGGCGCCAAAAACCAACACCGATAACCGGCGCCGAAAGCCGATAACCAATGCCGAAAAACAAAGGTTATGGTTTTTTAAAACTAACCATTTGGAAAACCTTTAAATGTGTCCAGAAGCATAAACCAAAGATAAAAACCCAAAAACCATTTGGTTAAAATCAATGCCAATAACCAATGCCGAAAACCGAACGCCGTAGCCGAACGCCGATAACCGATGGTTATGGTTTTGGTTAAGCAAGAACCATGGGTTTTAGAAACTTAAAAACCATTTATGAAAACACTCATTTGATGCATGAAAAACATATTTTGTTTTGAGCCATGACATAGAGAAATTGAATGAGCTTGTTACAATAAAACCTAAGTCTTTAGAATACGTCTTCAAAACGCCAATGTCGCCATCTTTAGCAGCGTCAATGCCTTTCTTGTGCTTTTTGTTTCTTCAAAGAACTTTTTCTATCTCTTTGAATCTTTTCATTTTGTTCCATGTTCCCGACGATTTGTCAATATCAAAACCTAAATGGAAACAAACATTGTCATTAGCAAAATGTCAAAGTGAAAATGTTTTCCAACAATTTCCCCCTTTTTGATAATGACAAACAAAGGAGGGGATATGCAGGCCAAGTTGGGTTTTCAAAGAGAGAGTAATGGTAATTCCCCCTACGTCTTTGAAAACAAGATTCCCCCTCACTTGTTGCATATACCCAAACACTTCCCCCTTTTGGCATTAGCAAAAAGCACTAAGTAAAGTTTAAAAAAAAGAGGTACTCCCTGAGCATTGATGTTTGATACAAAACATCATTGTTGTATGTTCCCCCTGAAACTGATACCATATTTATAGCAAAAACAATTCCCCCAAAATTCCCCTTGATGCAAATTATTAGGTTTCGTGTTTGGAGCATCCACTACAAAAATGTAGTCTTCAAACACACCTACATATGCATCTAACAATTTTTAGGTACCCAAAAACTTTTGGGTCCTTCAGGGTTAGGAAAATAATAATCATAGCTATAAAACAAATCCCTATGTTTGGTAAAACAAACGGGTGCTATGTGTCCTATCTTAGAGCAATAATGGCAAATTACATTTGGGTTATGCATATGCCTAGGTTGAGCCAAAAAATTTCTAGGTGATCTAAAGTCATTATTCCTAGAATTATTAATTAAGTTCCTAGACTCATTTCTAGGTTGTCTCAACTTATTATTTCTAAAATTAATTTTGTTATTCCTAGGATTATTTGTTCTTTTAGGTGGTTTATCATTATTAACTTCTTCACCAAGTTTCTTAGGTTCTTCTTCCTTAAGTTTCTCTATGGTGCTCTTAAGTTCTACATTCTCTATTTTTAAAGACTCACAAGAGGAACAAGTAGAACTTTGGTCAAAGGAAGAAGCTTCATTCATTGCCTTAATTTTATTTTTGAGGTCAAAATTATCATTTTCCAAACATTTATTTTCCTCTTCCAAAGCATGAATTTTTACCTTAGCCTCTTTGGCAATTTTTGAAGTTTTCTTCAATTCACCAAATAATTCTTGAAAGGCTTCTTGTAATTCTTCAAATGAGAAAGAGTTACAAGTACTTACCTCTCCATTTTGTTCATGAGCCATAAGACATAAGGTAGCAGTTTCGTCACTGGAACTTTCCGAATCCGATGCCATGTATGCTCGTTCCTTCTTCTTCTTTTCCTTGCGGTATGGGCAATATGACTTTATGTGGACAAGTTCTCCACAACCAAAGCACGTTGGAATGGGTTCCCCCTTTCTTTTACAATCTCGGGACCTAAGTTCTTCCTTCAAGAACTCTTGGAACTTCTCGAGCAAGTTATAAGAAGGATTATCGTCATCGCTATCGGAGTCACTTACCTCTACCCTTTTTGAGAATGAGGCTTTGAGAGTGAGACCGGGACTCTTGTGAAGAGAAGGTTTAAGAACAATGGATTCATAAGTTTTAAGATTACCTCGAAGACCATCGATGGTGACATTGGTGTTACCAATTGACTCATATATGGCATCGGCTTTTGAACGCCATTCTGATGTTAAGCTCCGAAGGATTTTTCAAACAAGATCTTTGTTCGAGTATGTTTTACCAAGGACATGGAGATCATTGATGATCTTTAAAAATCGTTCGAACATTTGATCAACGCTTTCAATTTCCTTCATTTTAAACAACTCATATTCATGGGTTAGAAAATCAATTTTAGCTTCACGGACTTGAGGCGTACCTTCGTATGTCACTTGAACCTTATCCCACATTTCTGTTGCGGTGGAGCAAGAAGAAATTTTCCGGTAGTCATCCGGGTTAATTGCACAAAAAATCACATGTTTAGCTTTTTCAAAAGCTTCCACCTTCTTGATGTCTTCAGCATCATATTCTTCCTCCTTTGGGATGGTGGTTTTACCAACCTTTTTCATTGGCACCGTCTCACCATTTTTTATGATTAACCACAGTTGGAAGTTGATTGACCGAATGTAAATCCTCATTCGTTCCTTCCAATAGGTGTAGTTTGTTCCATCGAAAAGTGGAGGTCTAACGGTGGAGTGTCCTTCACTTAATCCTGCATACGACATTCTCAACAAAAATATATAGATCGTTCTCTCAACCGGTTAAGTCTTGTAGAGAGCTAGGCTCCGATACCAATTGTTAGAATAAGTGCCCTTCACTAGAGGGGGTGAATAGTGAGGCACGAGAATGTTTATAAATTTTCGCGGAATAAAAATCACAGGGATAAAGTAAAGAGTGGAATAAAAAGCGTAAGGAGAGAACACACCGATTTTACCCTGGTTCACCACAACGTGTGGCTAGTCCAGCCTCCCGAGAGACTCTCTTGAGCTACACTATCAACGTTAAGCTTACGGGTGCTTAACAAACCGTTACAACCTGAGAACTCGAGTCCCACGAGCCTCAATACACTTGCTCGGAGATACCGCACTCCAAGACTTGAACCCGAAGGAATATGCCCTTCCTTCGTACAACCAAGGGAACAAACCTCCCTTAAAGTGTTCACAACACTTAACCACTCAAAAACAAAAACTCTCTTAAAGAGTAGAATATGAGCAAACTAATTTAGATCAAGAACACACTCAATTCCTCAAGAAATGGCTCTAAAAAGCTATGTAAAAAGTTTATGGAATGATGCAATGTAAAGCTATGAAATGTGTGAGGAATGGTTGTGAAAAGCAGACCCAAAAGACCCCTTTTTATACCCAAAAACAAGGTGCAACGGTTGGGAGAAAATTGGGGTTGATTGGCTTGATTTGTGGAAATCAAATAAAAGTGGATCTGCTGAAATCTAGCCCGACAGCGCTGTTCATATAGGAACATCGCTGTTTTGGCTTTGACATTCCTTTAAAAATGGCTAACGGTCATCAAAACATCGATGTCTAGAAGTCTACATCGATGCTGGGGTGTTTGACTTTCAAAAAAGGAAAGATTTTGTCTTAAATAGCCCAACGGTCAATTGAAAACAGCGCTGTTCAACCATGAACATCGCTGTTCAAAAACTTACTGCCCAGGGCTTCTGAAGGCCAACATCGCTGTTGGGATTTCCGACATGGATGTTGGGATGGTTTGCCAGAACCATGGTTTGGCAGCCAACGCCGAAAACCGATGTCAAAAACTAAAGTTCTCCAAAATGAAAACCAAGTGTTGGAAACTCTTATATAATGTATTTAATGTAGAAACCAAGTATAAAAACTTAAAAACCACTTCATTAAGGTAAAAATCACGGCTAGCCTAGTTTATGCCGTTTCACATGGTTTTCACCAAAAGACCAAAAACGAAAGGTGGTTTTTATCATTTTTTGTTGGAAAACCATTTTGATATGTCCAGAAGTAAAAACCAATCATAAAATATTAAAAACCACTTGATTGATTTGGGTGCCAAAAACCAACATCGATAACCGGCGCCGAAAGCCGATAACCAATGCCGAAAAACAAAGGTTATGGGTTTTGAAAACTAATCATTTGGAAAACCTTTAAATGCGTCCAGAAGCATAAACCAAAGATAAAAACCCAAAAACCATTTGGTTAAAATCAATGCCAATAACCAATGCCGAAAACCGAACGCCATAGCCGAACGCCGATAACCGATGGTTATGGTTTTGGTTAAGCAAGAACCATGGGTTTTAGAAACTTAAAAACCATTTATGAAAACACTCATT